GGCACAGCAGGGTAAATATAATTAAGAACATTGCAGTATATATCTTAAAATAGAAGAGAGGATTTTGGATATATTCATCATAAAGAAAGGATAAAAGAGTAAGGCAATCGGTGTGCTAATCACCCTGAGCTGATCACTATCCAAAATACACATCAATCAAAATATCACACTGTACCTCATAAATATGTGCCAATATTATGTTAACAAAAAATGAATTGAAATACATTAAATCTACTGAATCATAGCATGAGGTTGCTACTGTAGTAGATTGTACTAGACCATATTCAACAAAGTAGAAATAATTTCTGGCTTTGTGTCTCTCATAGCCTAATATGAAGTTAATTGAACAAATATCACTCTATAAAATTATGGTGTATACTCTTAAAACAATATAGCTGATTCAAAAATCATAAAATCAAGTACTACTGAAAAGTAGCAAAAATAACTGAGCTCCAGGTTATAGTATGTCATAACTTATATGTGGCCTTGCTAAATTTTCTAATTTCCAAGAGCTTTAAATTATCTGTGAAATGAGAAAGTTGATTAAATTCCCAAAAGTGCTCTCAATCACTGAAATTATTTATATTCATTAATTTTATTCAATTATATAGCAATCTCCTTAGAGGAATCAATTAGGTTTTATATTGATAAATATGGGTGTGTGTGTATATATTATACATATGCATATATATGCAATAAGTAATTATTATCTGATAACATACACATACAACTGCTATTTACATAAAATATATTTGTATAAAATTTGTATCATACATACACATACATACACACACAAACAATACACACACATACAATAGCATAGAATAGCTATGGAAATAGACATTTTTCCTGCTTGAACAGAGGTTAAGATAAGAGGAAAAAATTAAATCAATATTAAATAGGTAATTACATATATAAATACATGATTAAATTTTATGAAAATTGAAATGCAAATGTTTAAGAGAATTTTGAGTTTCTGACTAATCAACAAATGAAGTTGATTTTTATTGAGGTCAATGAATACATTTTTTGCCTTGCTTTGTTTTTTGGGTTTTTTTGGTAGTACTGGGGTTTGAACCTAGAACCTGAAGCAGGCTAAATAAGCACTCTACCCAATTTATCACTGAACTACATGCCCAGCCCTTTTATAAAATTTTATATTGGGACAGAATCTCACAAAGTCTTTCAGACTGTCCTGGAACTCATGATCTTCCTGCCTCAGCTTCTGGAGTATCTGGAATTACAGGCCTGTACCACAACCATCACACTCAGCCAAAATAGAATTTTAGGAAGAATGGGGTGACAATGACATTCTGCCAAGTTGGAAATGATGGTAAACTAACCCAATCAGTATGTCCAGTAGAAAACTGAATACATATATATGGAATAAACATTAAGGTTTCCAATGGAGATAACTGCACAAACTTGTGTTGTCACCATATATTTGGCATTCAAACTATGCAAGTGTTGATATTATCTAAGAAAATGTAAGAGAAAAGAAAAGCAAGAGAGGTTAGAAACGAATATCAAATGGGTATTTGAGCTGAATGTGGTGATGTACACCTGTAATCCCAGCAACTCGGGAAGCTGAGGCAGGAGGATTGCAAATTTATTTTTATTTTTTTTTAGTTGTAGATGAACACAATATCTTTGTTTTATTTATTTTTTTTTATGTGGTGCTGAGAATCAAATCCAGTGCCTCTTGCATGCAAGGCAAGCGCTCAAACACTGAGCTACAACCCCAGCCCCAGCAATTTAGCTTGGCCTTCAATAATTTAGCAAGGACTTGTCTCAAAATTTAAAAAAAGAAAAAAAAACTTAAAAGGTTTTGAGATTGTAGCTCAGTGATTAAAACCACAGTGCTGTAGAACAAGATGGGTATTGAAATGGAAACAGAAGAGTGACCAGATAGTCAGGATATAAAGTACAAATAGTTTGTGTAAGAGAGTTAGGAGAGAGTTTCCTAAGAAACTCTGTGACAGGCAGCTTCAATACTGAATAGGAATTCTTCATTGACAAATATCGATTGCATTCCTACCACACACCAGGTGCAACTCTAATTACCAAGGATACATTAGTAAATAAATCAAAGATTCTTCTCTTGTGGAACTCTTTCTTCTTTTCCTTAGCTGAAGGACAAGTGTAATACATATAAATTATTAACTATAAATCATCAAGTATTTTGAAATATGATAAATGTAATTAAAAAAACAGTAAAATGGGTAAGATATTTTGAGAATATAGCACCCATGTGATGTAAGAAGGAACAAGGTCAGAGAGATGATAGTAATTGTTTTGAGCATATTAGACACATGATATAAAGTACTTGAGAGAATTAGTGCTGTAACTTTTTAGAAAATATGCTGTATGGGGAGAGGTGTGGAATCCATATTTCTGTTTAGAAAGTTATTACAATTATATTATGGTAATAAGCTATTATTACTATAATCCACAAGAGAAATGATGGTTTGGACCATTGTATAGAAATGGTGAAATGTGTTTGCTTTCTGCATATATTTTGTAAAGCATTTCCACATGAATTAAATGAGATCAGAGAGAGAGAGGAAGAAATGAGGAAGAATTCAAGGAGGGTACTAAGATTTTTTGGTTGGAGCAACCAGAGGGATGGGCTGCCATCACCTGTGGTATGGCAGGCTAAGGCTGACCCTGGAGAAATCAGGAATGTGGTTGATAAGCTGTCAAATTTAAGATGTTATCCAATTTCAGGCATAAAGAAGAAAGTTGGAAATAAGAGTCTAGAGGACTGAAGGAAAGAATATGCTGGAAATGATCAATGTGCATTTTTTATATATAAAACATAAGAACGAATATCTGGAGAATGAGTTTAAATTAAAAAAAATGTCTGGTAAAGATAACCCACTAACTTTTAAATACTTGGTAGCATTACTGATTTTACTGCTCATATGTTTTCTCTATTTAAAAAAAAAAGAGAGAAGCTGGGGATATAGTTTAGGGTTACAGTGCTGCCTTACCATGTGCAAGAAGATTCAATCCCCAGGATAAAAATGTAGAAAGAAAAAAGACAAAAAGGTTTCTCAAAAATTAGACACGAATTATGCCCTGGTATGCATTTAGTAATGAATACGTGCAGGTATTTATTGACTGAACCAAAGCACTTGGTACATTTTTGCTTTGGAATTTTACAAGACAGCTTATATTATCTGATTGCATCTCAGAACTTCTAATCAGTATTCAGGTCTCATCAAGCCTCCTCCAGCACTGCATTTCAATATGTTCTCATTTGAGTTTTCTTTGCTAAATAGTAGCTTCTCGTTTCCATATTAGTTTTTTATATAGTCCCTTCTTCTCTAGAGCTTTTCCTGCGCCTGAAAATTGAGTAATTTTCAGAAGTCCTTGTAAAGTCTTATTTATATTAGTTGTTGTTTCTTTTCCTTTGGCTATTTGATGCACATTATGTAGTGCATTAAAATGGGTCGTAGAACAGACTCTTGAAATAAGCAAAACTGGGCAAGCAGTACTAAATGTTGAGACAGGCAGTGTAGGCCAATTAACATTTAACCCTAAATAAGATAATATGTTAGATTAAAAACAGTTCAAGGGGCTGAAGTTGTGGCTCAGTGGTAAAGTGTTCACTTAGCTTGAGTGAGCACTGGGTTCGATCCTCAGTACCACATAAAAATAAATAAATAAAAATATTGTGTCCGTCTACAACTAAAATAAAAAAAAATAGTTCAAATAAGAAAATTAATAAATAGAGGGCTATGGTTATGCGTGCTGTGATAAACCTTTTCTGAATATCCCATTGATCACAGTATTTTTCATCAAGTGTATTTATTAGCTTAACTCTGGAGAATGTTATTTAAGTAGAAGTCTTAGGATCTCATGCAGAGGATACAACATTATAAATGTAATGCTAGATTTTATTTTATAATGATTATTGTGTTTATCATCCAACCCACTAGTGTTTTGCACATAATTTGCGTGTTATTCCAAACGAATATGTGGCACATTTTGACACTAGTAATTTATAATTAATTAAGATGGCATACATGTAAGACTTTTCTGCATCACAAGAATATAGTGGATGGAAAAATGTTAGTGTCTTTCCTCCATCAATAATATCACAGGGAACATGGACCAATAAGTTTATGAAAGGAGCACATATTTTCCCCTTAAACATTTAAATTAGTAAAGATTAATAAAAACGGCCTCTATTAACTATCTGTTCAAGTAAAGTAGTGGAAGGCAACACTGAATATCTTTGCTTGCTTAGAAAGATTCCAGGTCATCCCCCAAAGAATCAGGCTTCCAAATAGTTTGTTTTCTGTCAGAAGACAATGGAACCAGAGACTCCTTTCTTGTTACTATCTGGGCTTGGAAAACCAGGTTTTGGGGGTCTTCCAACTAGTAACATTCTCATGGGCCAGATTTGGGGATCACGAGGACAACCCAAAGGCATTGTTTTCTGAATGCTGATCAAGATTAGAGACTGATGATAGGAGGAGTTCAAAAAATGGCGAATGTAACCCTCTTGCTCCTCCTCAGTTTCCTCCTGTATTTCCTGGAATTTCACTGTCAGCAAATCCTTCCTAATATTTCATCTTATGTAATTTTAGTGTAACAACCAAAAAATGGTTTTGTCTCTCTTCTCACAAGCAATATTTGAACGAGAATAATAGTTACTTGTGAATTTTAAGCTCTATTATTGTTACACACCAATGACTTCAGTGTCCATATAGGTAATTATATAACAATCATTCTCCAAGATTTGGGTCTCAAAAAGAACCATGAACTCACTTCTGGTTAGCCAGTGGCTTGCAAGAGCACCCCCCCAAAACCTGAAATTCCCAGAAGTACATCTCTAAAATTGTATACTTGAAATACTAATATTTATTAATAATTTCTCTACATTTATCTCTCTTTTTAATTCAAACAACTATATTTTGAGATTTTCTTGATTTATTATACACTCACCAGATTGTTCTTTTTTTTTTTTTTTTTTTTTTTTTTTTAAAATTACAAAATGGTGCTAGCATTCACGAAAACAAACAAATAAAAATCATGCTAAGATCAGATCCACAATGATTAAACGTTGAAAATTCAGCTACAATCCAAAGAACTCAGTCCACGAGTCCAAAGGCATGCACGCCAGCGGAGAAAAGGCAGGATCCACTTGACAGTATCTTCTTCAGAGCAGAACAGCAACATTTCACTGGAGTAATCACAGAGGGTGAATAAGATGCCATCGCACTTCTTTTTTGTAATTAAAAATAAAATAAATGCAATCACAAGACAAAAAAAATTATAGTAGACAGAAAAATATAGAAATTCACAATGACTGGGGAAGGACCCAGGGCTATCCCGCCTTCGTGTCCACAAGCTGCATCTGCACATTGGCAGACATACCACCTCCGTACCCTCCCTTGGACTGCATCTGGTTCTGAATGGAGCTAACTGAATTCATCCCACTGAACAGGTCTCCTGATCCTACATGAGCAGTGTGTACGAAGTTGGTTGGCTCTCCAATCATGCTTCGGTCAATCCGTCGTCGTCTTTTAGGCTGAGGCTGTTCTGCAATACAGCAGTTGAAACACAACCAGAATTCACTCATGCTTACAGTCCAAGGTATAAATGAGCACCAATGAAGGTTCCAAATCTCACTTCAGGAAGCTCCACAAAGTATGATCCTCAATGTGATGAATATTCAATCAAAACAAAAATTGTATTTCACTGCCTTTGTTCTTGGAAGTCAAGTATCTTATATATAGTCAGTGTAAGAAAAAAGTCAGATTGTTTCCTTTTCTTTGCTTCTGGTTCTACAGAGACTTGTTTCTGAACCAGCAGGAAGGTACAAAATTGCTCTCCTGACCCAGGGCCTATAACAGGTAGTCACTCCTCATGAATGAACCATTCATTCAGCTAAATCTGAAATGAGAACACTCCATATGTATGTACACAGATGATTTTGCAGACTCATTATCAATAGAAGTTGTTCCTTGAAGGTTTCTTCTGATTTGGGTTCCAGGTTTCATTCAAAAATCCACACTCAAAACTGGCTCTATCGTCGCCTTTGTTTCATCCGCTCGCTCGAGCTGCAGCCGCTCTGACCGCCGGCTCCGCGGCTCCTACAGTCCCCGCGCCCGCAGCTGCGCTCCCCGGCGCGCTCCCCAGATTGTTCTTTTTCTATTATTATATTTCATGACATTGCTATATTTTATTTATAATGCATAATTTAAAAATAGTTTTTGTATTGTAACTACATTAGGAATTTTAATGTAATCTAAAAGGAGTTTCAATAAAAAAACATAAGAAGAGAATGTTAAAAGTAAGTTGGGTGAGATATAGTTGGTGATCAGATTGAGATAGGGTAAGAAATAAGAATTTTTAAAATTTGTTATAATTAGTTAGTTATACATGACAGAATGTATTTTGACACATTAATGGAGTATAACTTTTTATTCTTCTGGTTGTACATGATGTAGAGTAACAGTGGTCATATAATCATATATGCACATAGGGTAATAGTGTCCTATTCATTCTACTATCATTCCTAACCCACAACCCCTCCCCTTCTATCACTCCCCTCTGTCTAGTTCAAAGTACTTCTATTCTTCCCTAGCCCCCCTCACCTTTATTGTGAATTAACATCTTCATATCAGAGAAAACATTGGACCTTTGATTCTTTGAGACTGGTTTATTTCACTTAGCATAATATTCTCTAGCTCCATGCATTTATCAGCAAATGACATAATTTCACTATTTTTAAGGCTGAGTAATATTCCATTGTGTATATATACCACATTTTCTTTATCCATTCATCTATTGAAGGGCACCTAGGTTGATTCCATAGTTTAGCTATTATGAATTGAGCTGCTATAAAAACTGATATGGCTGTGTCACTGTAGTATGCCAATTTTAAGTCTTTTGGGTATAGACCGAGGAGTGGGATAGCTGGGTCAAATGGTGGTTCCATTCCAAGTTTTCCAAGGAAACTCCCTACTGCTTTCCAAAGTGGTTACACAAATTTGCAATGCATGAGCGAAACTTTTTATCCATATTCTCACTAACATTTAATGTCATTTATATTCTTCATAATTGCTATTCTAACTAGAGTGAGATGAATTCTCCGTGTAGTTTTGATTTACATTTCTCTAATTGCTAAAAATATTGAACATTTTTTCATATATTCATTGATTGATTGTATTTCTTCTGTAAAGTGTTCAATTCCTTAGTCCATTTATTGACTGGGTTATTTGTTTTTTGGTGTTAAGTTTTTTGAGTTCTTTATATATCCTGGAGATTAATGTTCTATCTGAGGTGCATATAGTAAAGATTTTCTCCCATTCTGTAGGCTCTCTGTTCATGTTCTTCATTGTTTCTTTTGCTGTGGATAAGCTTTTTAGTCTGAAACCATCCCATTTATTGATTCTTGATTCTACTGTTTTAGGGGTCTTGTTAAGGAAGTCACTTCCTAAGCCTACATGGTGAAGATTTGGGTCTACTTTTTCTTCTATTAGGTACAGATTCTCTGTTCTCGTGCCTAAGTTATTGGTCCACTTTGAGTTGAGTTTTGTGAGATATAGGGGTTTAATTTCATTTTTCTACATATGGATTTCCAGTTTTCCCAGCACCATTTGTTGAAGAGAGTATCTTTTCTCCAATGCATGTTTTTGGTGCCTTTGTCTAGTATGAGATAATCATATCGATGTGGATTTGTCTCTGCGTTTTCTATTTGTACCATTGGTCTACATGTCTATTTTGGTGCCAATACCATGCCATCTTTTTTACTATGGCTCTGTAGTATAATTTAAGGTCTAGTATTGTGATGCCTCCTGCTTCATGAGATGTAAGAACTTTTTAAGCCAGCCAAAAATTTGACAGCAAGATTAAAATCTGTTCTTGAACCAGTAACATGAAATAAATATTTTCACAAGCAATAAATGAAAGAATAAATTATATACTTCCATGAGTGTGTTAGGTACAAGGCTTCTCAAGATAGGGAGTCATATAAAGCTAAAATATTCTAATTTTAAAACTTTTAGGCTCTGATCAGTTATCTTACATTTTTAACTGTGACTTTTATTGTAATAGGTGAAGTTTTGATAGATCATTTTAATTGAACAGTTTAATATTTAGTAGAGTTCATTTTACCAACATCAGTATTAACCAACCATAGTATAATTTTTCACCAATAAAAAAGTGGTAAATTTATAAGTGTATAATAATAAACATAATTATCAAACTCATCATTAAATAATTATAATGTAAAATTCCACCATTTATAGGTAATTGCTTTAAAAATTTGTTTTGCATTAATTTTACTAAGCCAAATTAGCATTCTAAAAACAAAAAAAATAATATCATATTCAGAGTTGGGAAAAAATTAACAAACAAAATAGACATTGTTGCTTCTATCAAAAATCACTGTTTAATTGTGTTTGGAAACCACTCAAAGTAATGTTTAAAAAGAACTTGTTTGTATTTCTATGTTACATTTGAAGGGCAACACCCCTCCCCCCAAAAAAATCCCAAGGAAAAGACAAAAGAAAACAAAACAAGCCTCCTTAAACTGTGTCAAAACACTTTATTAAATCTCAGATAGTCTACACATAAGGTCTGGTAAATAAGCAAATTGGGAATATGTTAAAATAGGTAGAGAGAGATATCTAATAGGGGGCAAAAGAAAGAGTATTAAAACAAATTCTAACATTAAATATCTGTTTAAAGTAAAAATGGTGATTAAGCAATTAATTAACTCTTAAAGATAAATCTCTAATAAAATTTCTTTCAGCAAAATTACTTATAATAAACATTAAATAATAAGAAAAAATAATGCTTCCAACATATTGTTGCAAAGAATCTTGTTTGACTTTCCAATTCACATTGTTTTGGTAAAAGTTTCCTGAATTTCTTTGAGCAAATCCTAAATGGATTTGATGAAAAATAACCTATCTCTAGATCAGAGGGTGAATATGCAATCTAAATTAAAAAAAAATCATCACATTTCATTACTTTGAAAACAATAATCTCTCAGGGATGAACACAGGACACTGTTTGAACATGTAAGTTAAGATTCTTAGATTTCTGCTCTTGCTACTGGGGAAGAGAAGTAATTTACAATGAACAAATGAGTAAATGACTCAATGAACACAAACATGGTGGCTAATTTCATTAATGAGCAGAGGAGTAAATTTTTAAAATTAAAAAAGAAAAGATCAGTCTACTGAAAATTTCTCTTTTTATATATCAGATCTTTAAATGGTAGACTGAAGTGGGCAATAGGATGTTAGTCACTTCTAAGCAAGCCTCTCTCTCACCAAGGTGTGAGTCACATCAGAGTGGTAAATGGATCCCAGTAAATGGCTCTGCTAAGGAGCTACACCTGTCTTAGGGCCATTCTGACCACAGTTCATCTGCTTCTTAAGGGTTTATTGTAGCTTTAACGATGTATTAATCTTTGCATTCTCTATTTTATATGAGTGGTCAGTTCAACTTTTATTTTCATAGCTCTAATTAAAATTTTTTTCAATTCCCTGGTTTATACATCTTCATCTTCAATAATTAGATATAATTAGGGTCTGGGGCTGGGGCTCAGTGGCAGAGCACTTGCCTCTCACATGTGAGGCACTGGGTTCCATCCTCAGCACCACATAAAAATAAATAAACAAAGATATTGTGTCCATGTATAACTAAAAAATATTTTTTTAAAAATTAGATATAATTAGTTTACTAAGTACTTTGTACCATGTGTACAATACATACTTGTTTGTAAAATTGTAAGCTCTTTTTTCTTTGCAAGCCTTATATTTTTGACTGGTGTTGAGATTCTATTTAAAACTGACCCATAACTTGAAACTTTATTGTAGTGACCAACAACAATGCATTTGATAGGTTTGTTATATCAAAAAAATTAATAATAAACTTATATGACAAAATTTCAACTGAATCATTACTCACAGTACTTTAACATATTTATTCCATACCAAATTGTCAGTAACTTTTCTTCAAAAGCAAATCCTCCCAGTAGGGAATTTTAAAATCTTTAATAATACATTTTATAAGTCATTCTTGTGAGAGATTCTACTTGGGCAAACAAAGTCAGCAGAGAGTGGAGTCTGTGTTTTTCTGTTTTGTTTTTAATTAATGAAGACAGAGTTTGAAGGATGGTGGGGCAGGTGGGACTTGTGGTGGGGTGGAGGGTAATGGACTCTGAGCCCCTTTGACCTTCAAGAAGCAGAGACAAGAGCAAGCAAGCACCTAGGTTGCACAGTGCGGAATTTGAAAACATGAAATTCAAGGAACTTTGAAAATAGTATGGGAAGATTCAAGACTTATTATTTTGGCACATAGAAGTTCTGTTGTCACACAGAAGTAATTTGTTGCATGGAAATAGTGTTAGTTGCCTCCAAATATTGATTTTTTTTTCTTTCAGAGTAACAGTTTCAGGTTTTTTTCTGCTCAGAGAAAGGTTACATCTCCCCTTGGCCTACAAATAAGTTCTGGGGAAGCTCTGGTAACCTCCCTATCAAAGACAAACTATAAATGAACAGACTTAAACAGGAAAAAGAATTTGTTCAGAATTATTGCAATAGAGAAATTGAACTTAGCTAAAACAAAAGGCAAGTAATCAGGCAGTTAAATACTGGTGGAAAAGTGCTGGAGGACAGGATAGTATTAGCAGGAGAGATCAATTACTGAAGCACAATGGATCATTCTTGAGTCTGTTAACATTTTTCTCTGATGATACCATCTTCCTCTCCTAATTGGTGCCATGAAAATTAGGCCTCTAATTTCTGTCCTTAGGAAGAAACTGAAAGGTACAGACATGCTCTCTTTTGGTAATTTAATTCCAAAAGAATGGATCCCAGGCCATGAGGAAGACAATTTTCAGTTAAAAAACTGACAAGTGACTGAGAGATTTGTGTATATTTCAAAGAGGTAGAGAAAATATTTGTAAAGATAAGTTTTCTATAGTAAATGCTCTCATTCAGGAGGCCTGGGGTCTGCCCTCAGGAAGAAATCTGTCTAAATGTTAGTTGTACTCAGAGGAACCTGAAAGTCATCCTGGGCAGTTGTTGACAACCACAAAAACAGCATGTGTCTTTTGATTTTTATTCACCCCTTGCTTGCTCTTTATACACCCTTTGCTTTTTCCTAGTATAT